TAACCCTAACCCTAACCCTAACCCTAACCCTAACCCTAACCCTAACCCTAACCCTAACCCTAACCCCAGCCAGAGCTGAAGATGAGCTGATCTTCCCTGAAAATGCACCCTCATGCAAGCTCCACATTATTTGTCTCCATTCCAAAGGGTCCCCCTTGACCTCCCTCAAACCCCCTCAGAACTTCCCTCAACTTCAAATTACATGAGCACATGTTTGCTCATGTTCTTTCAACTTGCTGCAACTTCCCAGATTGAACTTGAAGATGAACTCAAGTTCCTTGAAGATGCACCAGCAGGCACATTTCCTGCCATTTGTCCTCATTCCAAAGAGTCCCCCCTTTGCCCCCTTAATGCTCATCAGAACTTGTGCCAAGTTCAGACAATATGAGCCAATGTTGGTTCATCTTTGTTCATCTTGGTTCATCTTCCTCCTTCTGGAGCTCAACTTCCCCAAACATGCACCACCAGGCACACTTCTGCCAACTGCCTCCAATCCAAAGGGTCCCCCCTTTGCCCCCTCAGTGCCCACCAGAAGTTGTGTCAAGTTCAGGAAACATGAGCCAACATCAGATCATCTTGCCCCAACTTGATGCTCAACTTGTGTCAAGTATGCTGAAGATGACTGAACTTAAGGTACCAAGCTGAACTTAGAGGCACTTTGTGTCATCCCTGAAAGACTTTTGTGCAATCCAATTCCAGAAAGTCTCATGCCACAGCTTCATGTAAGTCACTGTAACAGACAAGAAGCACTTCTCTCAAAGACAAGCAAGTTAGGCACTCTAACCATGCCATCTTGAGGTTAGATGGACCTCACGCCGTCAAACCTGTAGGGTTTTGAGCGCCGCTTCACCAGCTGGCTTCCCTCAGCCTTCTCTAGGTGCTTATAACACAAACTCCAAAAACCCTATTGGGAACCCCCTTGTAACCCTAACCCTAACCCAGACAGGGGAAGGAGCTCCTCGCGGAACTCTTCCTCGTTGGCGTCCAGGTCGTCCTCTTCCTGTAGCTGACGCTGCTCGTCCTCATGATCGAGTTTAGCAGCCATCAGCTGCAGCATTGCCGCTTTGTTGCGACGGGGGCAGTTAGCCCGACGGTGGTCCGGGCTTCCGCACAGGTGGCAGAGGTTGCTTTTGCTCCGCTGTCTGTACTGCTCGGCAGTGATGCCGGCAACAGGCGATGGGCGAGGAGCATTGCCTCCGCGAGGGGCGAGCCGAGAAGGCCCAGGGGCTGCTTCCGCAGCGGGACGATGGACGGCGGCGACGGCGTTCGTCGACGTCGACAACGTTTTGGACGACAAGCGCCACCGTGCCGCGTCCTCCCTCTCCTTGCGCACCTTGCGATCTTCTCGGATTGCTGCGGAGATGTACGAGCTGAGCCTCGCGTTGTCCATATGAGCGAGACAATGATGGAGCTTGGTGTTGAGACCGCGCTGGAAGAAGGTGAGGAGGGTGCGCTCCGGCTGGGCCTCTGCCGTAACGGCCAGAGCCCGGAATCGACCAACGTACTTGTCCACCGAGCCTCGTTGGTAAATCTCTCCCAACTCACGCAGCGCGCTGCTGTACATTTGGTTGTCACCCCACACTTTGCGCAAGTACGACGTAAACTTGTGCCAATTGAACAAGTGTCCGGAGCCTAGATCAGGCCCCACGGGACGTCCCATCCGAATTGACAGCTGGCGATCCGCCCAGCCGCGGCGCTCCTGCACCAGGGTATCACCTGGCATCCCATCAATGTGGGCCTGCGCGTACGCGGCCCATTCTCAATGTTCTAGTCCCGTAAAGTGGAACACGTGGAGACAGTTATCGAGGAAACGCTCTAGCGTCTCCCTCTTGCCATCCCACCGTTCCAGCTTTAGTCTGGGACCCCCGGCACTCATGGTGTAAGCGGTGCCGGTATAGACCAGCGGGTGCTGATACCCGGGCGGCGGAAGCGGTACGCCATTATTGTCGGCAAAAAAACTTGCAACAGAAGAATCGCGCTCTACTTGCGGCGGCGCGCGGGACGCGTAGCGCCACGTGGAGTCTGCTGCGGCAGCCGGAGTGTCGCGTGGCGCAACAGAAGGGCGTAGGTGAGGCGGGAGCGGACGGTT